TGGGTTTAGGGCTCAGGGGTAAGCTCTTGGGATTAAGGCCAGGGTTTAGGGCGATTTAGCGTATATGGGCTGTGGGCATTTTAGGGTGCAGGGCTTTCAGGGTCTAGGGCTTCAGGGTTCAGGGTTCAAGGTTAAGGTTTCGGGTTCCACTTCTTCCTGCCTTTGGTTCGGCGGGTTTAGGTTTTACGGCTTAGGGTTTAGGGTTGAGGGTGTAGGTTTAGGGTTTGCCGCCTCTTCTCTGGTTCGTGGTAGGTTTGGGTTGACAGTCAGAGGTTGGGGTGAGTACCGTGTGAGGAGGCGATGCCATGGCGGAGCGCGGGCGCATGTAGGGGGTTTGGGGCTTTTAGGGTTTTGGGTGTGGGGTAGTGTTGAGTTGACGGTTTAGGTTGAGGGTTTCGTCTTTCCTCTTGGTGGGTCAGGGTTCAGGGTTAAGGTTTCGGTGCTCAGACACTACATTCAATAGTTCACACCCAGCAGCACATAGCATCAAAAGGCCCCGGCCGACCCTGCCGTTGCCGGGGCCCCCTGGAGATGGGGGATGATCATGAGACTTGTCATGTTCTATCCAGTCTTCAGAGACACATGCTTCAGCGAGCTCGTTTTCTCAACAGCACGGAGCAGGTCCCACATGCTAGGGGGGGGAGGCCGGGCACCTACACCATGCCAGGCAAGGGGCCTGGTCCAACTCGGTCTGAGGCGCATCCCAGTCCAGCTTTCTTATGTAGAGTTTGATTTCGACTATAGGGCAAACGTGCCGCAACATGCTGGGGCAGATAGGGATTCACAGGGTTCAGGATATGAGGGTTTCGGATTGCCCTCTCCCATCCTGAACCTCGACCTCCTCAAGCCCCGCGGCCGGGCTGAAATCCTGGAGTCCTGAACCTCTCAAGTGCAAAAGCATAAGCCCGAAACTCTGTAGGTCCTTACAAGGACCTAGAATTGAGCATGTGCCAACAGTTCTGTTGTTGACTGTTGCGATCTGAAGGAGCCGATGAGGGAAATCACGCGCTCCTTTCAAGGAGATATGGAGGACGCACTGGGGGCCATCTCTCAATGACCGGAGTGAAGCTTGGTAGTTTCGGCTCCTGGGCGTCAGACTCACCATCGCTGATCAGAAAGCCAGGAGTTCAAGACCCAGATCGAGAGGGCGTTGACTGGGCAGGAAGGCCACACGGATATGGATTACGAGAAGGCCCGAACAACTCGGATTTTGGTGGAGTCAAAGGATTGCCGAAGGGTCAGTCAGGCAGGACATGCCGTTGACCTTGACATTTGAGGAAATAAGGTGAGTCCGATGTTTCTTTTTCATGAAGCATTTGCCTTTGATTGATGACCAAGGGAATCCTTGTGGGAAGCGGATCAGAACTGTAAAGTGTGAAGAGTGTTGTAAGAGTGTTGTAGTAGTGAGTGGGAATTCCGGCCCCGACCAGGAAACTGTGACCTGGTCCAGCCCGAAAGGTGCCACAATCGTGTTCAGGTGGGGGCCTCCAGCTATCAAATGTTGCAGTCTGCGGAATGGCAGAGTCTTGAGGCAAGTGAATCACAAGGTCGAGATCACTGCAAAGGAGAGATGTTTCGACTTGCTTGTCTCATGTTTTGCTTTTGCAGCTGCTGTGTTTGGCCCGGTCACTGCAGAGGAGGGCCTGTGCAGAGTGTACCTTAATTCCTGCCACTTCTTGTCAGCAGCAAGCCAAGGCATGTGCTGAGTTGTGACGGAGTCGTGCTGGGTTGTGCAGTCTAATGATGTGATGTCGATGCCCCGATGCCAGGCTCGACAGATGCCGCCATGGAGCGAGGCTCCACCCGGGCCCCTCGCCTACCCAAATCTTCCTATCGACCTCCCATGCGACTGTCAGCTCAGGCGGCCACCAGCATCAAGTTGGGAGGCACCAACGGCTACGCAGGCGTGGAACTGAAGGGAAAGGGGAGTGCTAAGCCTGATGAAGGCTGATATCCGCCGAGGAGGTGTGCAGAGATTGGCCTTCCTGGCAGGTTCCAGGGCTCCTAGCCAGGCCTTTGTGCCGAAGGCTGGCAGCCGGCCACTGAAAGTCCATCACGCGACAACCCCCTCGTGGAGAGACTTCGATGATGTAAAATGTTGCAAAGAAGACACCATTCTTCTGCTCGGCTTGCTGAGGTGCAGCGGGCTTCACGAAGCCGATGAGCTTGGCCGCTCACTGAATGTCTCTGATGGAGAGTCGTTCCGCTAACTTGCGGGTGGGGATGCTCGAATTCGCGCATGTCTTTGCTAAGAGTCCTCTTTTCGCGTTCTTACGTTGACATCGCAAGCTTCGCGCCTGCTGTTGGAAGTCTCGCCTCGGGGCTTCTCTGCCAATGGCAAACCCAAAAAGCATCCCCCAACACATCCCTAAACCCTCCGAGAATGCGTCGGAATCCTTGGAGGGTTCAGGGATTTTCGGGTCTTAAGGGCTTTCGGGTGATGCCCTTCTAACTCTCTCGAAGCTTGAATGGAACGCAGCATAAGGCTTTACGGTTAGGTGGCAGCGTGCTGACTTTTCCCGTAGAAACCACGCCTGGTATGCTCCCGATTCCTTCCATTGCCCATGGTTAGTTGGGGGGGTGATTGTGCTCTTCCCCTGGCAAGGGTCGGCGGGTTTGGGAGCAGGTTCCGGAGGCCAGAAGGGGTATGGAGCGGTTCCGGAGCGAGCCAAGGAGCGACCGCGCGCCTGTTCAAACGGGAAGCTTGAAAGGAAGCACTGTCGGCGGTACGGAGTGCAGAGTGCGCTCTCGCATGGGCGCGCGGCTTCAAAGCAACCACGTGCTTCAAGAACCCATGAAGACAACTCGAAAGAGCCCGTGCTCAAGGAGTCAGCGCACGCCTGTCACAACCTCGCCGCGATTGGATTCGGAGCGGGCAACCTCTCGCTGCTGTTGGATTCGGAGCACACACGCTTGCCTTTGCGCGTTCTGCTGCTGGTGGGAAGACCTGCTGGGATGATAGTCCATTTTGATGCGTACAGTTCAACATTTGCAATTCTTTGTCCATGCTTGTGTGACTCAAATGCCTGTCACATCGTGCGCCCACAAGGCCGGTGGAGCCAGCGCCTTCGCTGGGCCGTCTTCCGCAGCGAAGAAGAGTGACAAGCCGAAGGCCGAGAGGGAATCGGGACAAGAGAGGGTTCTGAAAAAAGTGGGTGTTGAAACGTGAGAGAAAGGAGGCAACAGAGCGGCGCTGCAGCTTTCGGGTTTTAAGTTGTGCCGACTGTGGCCTGCGTGGGCAACATAGGTAACACACGTGTCCAGCAAGCTTCGTGGCGCAGGTCCCCTACTATCGCGAGGTCTTCAACACAGACTTTAAGCCTGAGACGCAAGGCAGAAGCAGGACTTCGATCAATCGAAATGCAGCGTCTCAGCAGAGATTCTTTGCAGATGAGCTGGAGCTGCTCATGCACGACATCATCGAGGTCGTTCCATCGCACACAGTACTCGTGATCGCGAGAATCCTCCAAGGGTTGTGCGGCTTTCCTCCAAGCAGTGGCCCATGAAAGTCAATCGAGGTGCTTGAGGACGATGGGGAAAACAATGCCTTGGACAGATGGGCTGGGAACTCGAGAAGTTGGCACAGAGGTTTGTCAGTGGCGATGCTTTCCCCTTGCGAGACTGCCCGACAAGCCTCCGCCCTAGCCCCAGGTCTGCGGCAGGAGTCGGAAGACAGGGCAGATGGGATGGTGTGGCTGGCATGTTGCCCCATATCGGCGGTGCTGTCCGCGCCATGCTGTTGTGCTGCAGTTTAGCCCAGAATCTTTTATAACGAGACAGAACGAGATGAGTTTGATGCTCCAATCATGACCTTTACCAGAGCGGCAGGTTTCCGCTGAGCTTGACGCAAAGTGTGGATATGAACAAGGACACTCAGGGCTTTCAAGTTCATAGCAGGTTGAATGCCGGCATGTGCCGGCGGCTTGTTCTCAGTTCTGACAAAAGCTGAAATGCAACTCAATCCGCCGCTAAAAACTTGCGACCGCCACTTTGACTTTTGTTTTTTGTGTTTCATGCTTGCCCAATCTGCCAGGATGCTTGAAATGGCAGATGACATGTGCAGCTTCGATGATTCGAAGGGCTGCCTATTGATACGAAAACTACGGCCGCAGAGCTGCACTTTGCGCATCTGCAAAGAGAGCCTCGGCTGCTTTCTCACTCGGAGTTTGCGTGCTGTGCGCATGCACTTAAGCCGAGTGGCCGAACACCTTAAGCACATATCAACATGTCAAGAGAACCCAGACAAAGAGGTCCGGAATCGGGCACTGTGAAGTACTTGGCGTCCTGGCTGTGTTGCCCGAGAGTGCAGTGCGAGCATGTGCGAGCTGCTCGGAAGGGACCTGGGGGGCCAAAGCGGAGCTGCTGGGAATTTTCGTATTTTCGCAAGCTTGAGCTCAGAAGGCTCAGGGCCAGGGAAGCACAGGCTGCCTCTGAAAGGATCATGATGTGCCTGTGCTTTCTTGCAACCCTTAAGCCTATCCCGTGTCACCGGGGATTACCGGGGTGGATTTTGCAGAAAGAGCACCGAGCCTCGAATGACGACTGAACCCATTGTCCTAGGCTTGGCAGTCAAGCGATTCGCAAGCTCTATCTGCTTGAATTGGGCTCAGCTCGCACCTGCCCTGCAGTTGCAAAAGTCTCCAATGGCTTGGAGTACTTGACTCCAACGGATACAGCGTCATCGCGCAACGAATCCAGGGTTGCCCTGCAAAAACCTTTTGGCTCCGCTTCTCTGCGTAGCTCCGCAGCTTGTGCCAAAGAGCATGCCGCGAGTCGTCCTCAGCACCTCAGGTTGCTCCTGCAACTTCATTGATAAAGCAAGTGGTGTGCGATGCACCTGAGGTCTTCAGCAATGATCCTCTGCTCATCACTGGAGCATGCATTTATCAAGGAAGGCGGGGGCTCATGATGCTTGCCTTTGCTCAGACGGTTCCTGCTCGCAAGCGAACCTTGGCGATGAAACCTGAAGCTGTTAGCTCAAGTTGGGCTTTGTAGTCCAGATGCATCCTTCTGGCATTGCGGCCATGCTTCGTACTGGACCTCCGACTGTGGTCCTGCATGATTTTTTAGGCCAAGCGGTTTGTACAGGACCATCTGCGCAGGAGAATCTGCAGACCCATGTGCTTGGTGCTACAGCATGGCATGCCACAACTTTCAGGAGCCCGTAGATTCTCATCGGCCAATGTCAAGCCGTTGACTGGAAGGGACACTCGCATGATTGAGTCGTTTTTGCCGTGGTGGTTTGACATGGCGCGAGCAGGCGCGTGTAGGCGCGTGTGGGCGCGTGTGAGCGCGCGTGCGCCAGCTGGCGCGCGGACGCGGGCGCGGACGCGGGCGCGGGCGCGGGTGTGTGTTAGGGTGTGTTAGTGTGTGTTAGTGTGTGTTAGGGTGTGTTAGTGTGTGTTAGGGTGTGTTATATTGTGTGTGTGAGTGTGAGTCGTATGCTGTACAGTCAATAAAACTTGACAGACTCCTTCGAAAGAGGGTGCGGACATCTCTGTGTGTGTGTGTGTCTGTCTGTCTGTCTGTCTGTCTGTCTGTCTGTCTGTCTGTCTGTCTGTCTGTCTGTCTGTCTGTCTGTCTGTCTGTCTGTCTGTCTGTCTGTCTGTCTGTCTGTCTGTCTGTCTGTCTGTCTGTCTGTCTGTCTGTCTGTCTTTCTGTCTGTCTGTCTGTCTGTCTGTCTGTCTGTCTGTCTGTCTGTCTGTCTGTCTGTCTGTCTGTCTGTCTGTCTGTCTGTCTGTCTGTCTGTCTGTCTTCTGTGTGTCTGTGTGTCTGTGTGTCTGTCTGTGTGTGTGTGTGAGTGTGAGTGAGAGTGAGTGCGAGTGCGAGTGTGAGTGTGAGTGAGTGTGAGTGTGAGTGTGAGTGTGAGTGTGAGTGAGAGTGAGTGAGTGAGTGAGTGACACTGTGTCTCTGTGTGTGTGTGTGTGTGTGTGTGTGTGTTTGTGTGTGTGGTGTCGTGTGCAGAGGCGTGTGGGGGGACAGACTGTGTGCGTACCCAGACACACTCGGAGAAACGACTGGCTGAACCGTCGTGCGATGCCAACTTCTGCCAAAGAGATTTCATGTCTCTTGTCTTTGTGCCAAGAGCAATCTTGATAACCACGCTCTTTCAGAGCAGTAACAGTTCGAAGCTTGGAGACACTGGGTGAAACTGCAGGTGCGTGGGAGTGATCAGTTCCCATATCAGCCATGAGTGCAGCCCTCTTCGTTGAACCACCAACTGCACTCATGGGGTGGTCCCTCTGCAGAGATTCCTTGCATAAAGACCTGCGCGAGCATGGGTGTCCCGCGCACACACATCTGGATCATCTGGATCGGCTGGAGCTCATGGCCCTGCATGAGAATGTTCTAGACCTTCAAGCAACTGCAGAGCTCATTTCCTAAACATCACAACAACATTGCAGGTACGTAGACTGAGCGTCCCCACTCTATTTCCTAACCACTGCAGCAGAGCTTGGTTGGCGGAGGCTGGGCTGCTTCCTGCCCCCTCGAAAGATGCTGAATTCTGAAAGAGAGTGGTTATCAAGATTGCTGTTGGCACAGAGACAAGAGACATGAAATCTCGTCATAAGTTGGCATCGCTGCCCGTGTGTGGTGGTGTGCGGTGGCGTGCGGTGGCATGTGGTGGTGGACGGTGAGGGCCTGCGTGTGGAGGTGGTGTGCTGGGGAGTTTCAGGGTGAGGTCTGCTACGATGAGGTCGTGTGCGCAATGTGGATAGGGAAGGGATATAGAGTGTAATTGTTGTGGTTTGTCTTTAAAGGTGTCTTAGCTTGAAAGCCGTGCAATGTAGGGCTACTAGCAGCTTCGTTGGCCTCGGCTTGCCCCCCCAAGTGAAGGGAAGTGTCCTGACCGGGGGTGCTCTTTGAAGACTGTCGGACACAGCTTGCTCCAAGGCTCAAAACCGATCTTGTGGCACCTTCTTCATCGGCGTGCAAGACCGCTGCATGTACTCACACACCTTCCACTTCAGCTACTCGCTACTCATCTGGAGGTTCCAAGGATACATATGCATGCATATGCATGCTACTCATGAAGCTCATAAGCTAATCCCTGCTAGGCCCTAGGCTCATCTGAGTGCAAGGTGGCAGTGAGCCATTTACTACTGGCTGTACGGCTGTGGTCCAGGTCAAAGTTTTCGGCAGGCACTGTGCTCAGCTCAGCCTATGCTGTGCTCGTGCATTGCAGAGTTGCGGAAGGTCTTTGGGCGAAGGTGATGTCTTGATGGACATCAGCGTCGGCCAGCAGTTGCTGAGGGAGATCATGATGCGCTACGACCACAAGAACCTAGACATGCTGGACACGTTGCGTGTCAACCCCACATGAGATCTAGCAAGGCTGCTTCAGCTACTAGCTACTTTTGGATTGTTAGATCAAGCGAAGTCCTGCTGAACACCGGTCTGAAATCACATCAAGATCCGTCAAGGAGGAGTTTCAAAATCCGCGCCGGAATACTACAGTCGAGGTCATGGCAGAGGTGCCCACGAGCTGTCCACGACAAAACCACAGCCTCTCTCCTTGCGTTAAGCAGACGATCTTGGTATCAGAATGTGCAGGCTGTCCACCGGCAGTTCCTGTCTGGCCTAAAGCAGCATTTGGCGGAGGCATTCGGCGATGTGTTTTGCTTTGACCTGTGCTGCTCAGCGCATGAAAAGTCGCACTCAACGCGGTCTAAGGAAGCAGCGCAGGGCAAAGCCCTCGGCTCCATCTCCAAAGTTGAGGTGGTCGTCAAGGAGTGGCACTAGCAGACGGTTCTGAGATACAGACTGTGCTTGGCAGGTTTAGGGTTGTGGGGCCTGACCTGAGCAATGCCTCCTCGAAGGAAAGCGACGTTGCATTTGCCGGTTTTGCGGCAGATGTGGATGTCACCAGCTTGGGTCCAGAGTGAGCCAGACATGCTTGCCGCCAGCAGCAGCGCGACCGCGCACAAAAAGGACTCGTATTCTTGAAATTAGTTGAGCGTGAGTTGCATCAGTACCGGTTTGGGTTGATGTGTTCTTTCGAGGCAGCATGGGCTGTGGGGAAAGTATCTGTAGTTCTGCCTGCAGGCTTCCAACGAGCCAGCTGCTGTACCAGTGCAGGCCTCAGAGATGGGGGCATCTGATAGGTGAATCCGCGCCTGTCCTCCGGATTTTGGAGAAACGCGGCTTGACTCTCTCCTGGCCCTCTTCTTCCCTCTTTGTTCCTGTTCACCTTCTGTGCAGTTGGCCACTGCAAAAAAACTTTACGACAGCTTCCTGTCATTCAAGCTGGTGGCAACTTCTCCTCACCGCTTAGCTGCATGACATTGGGCCACACCCAGGCATGACCAGCGTGCGGTACCGGTCTCTCTCCAATGTCTCAGAGGCACTTTTGATGTATTCCGTCATTGTTTGCAATGAGCATATCGATCTCAGAAAAGCCATCCTGGTCATGGCACGTTGGATGGGCTCCGCTCAGAATGTCAGGCTGACGCAGACTCGAAAGGAGCGCTGCGTGTGTCTGTTCGATCTGAAGTGCGTCGGATCTTGACCCTCGAAACCACAAGAACTGCAAGGCGAAGCAGCCGCACAACTGAGTGTCTGGGGCGAGCGCTTGCTGGCCACTACCTCATATCGGAAGCTCTCCTTGTGCTGTTTTGGTCATTTCTGGGTAGGCTTGAAAGTCACAGGCATATACTTGCGCTGCATCTCCTGAGCCACGGGTCATTCTGCGTCCGACTGCAGGCTGAGGCGCGCTCCTCAACCGCATGCCAGCGCCGCCAGCTCAGGTGTAGAAGCGAAGACAAAGCTTTGCAAAGTTCGAGGGGGATCCAACACAATGGTTGAAGAGAATCTGCTCATGGCTGTTGACGGTTTCCGACGGTTTCCATCCTTCATCCCTGACTCCAGCTCCTTCCACTTTCGATCCCCGTGTAGCTGTGCAGCTGTCTTCGGGTTTTGTGCACAAATCAAAAATTGGAAAGGTGTATCCAAGTCGGGTAAGCCAGAACAGGACGTGCAGTTAACTCGCGGGGCAGCTTGACAAGTTATGCACAGGTGTAGCATTCTGTAGCCATGTTTTCTTGACCTTCGCAGCTTCCGCTCTGGCAGCGCGTGTGTTTGAGGCGTGCAAACTGACACCGATGATGCAGAGTCCGGTGGAGCACAGGAGGCAGGACTTTGAACAGCAAAGACGCAAAGATGTGCAAAGATTTATGCTGCCGACTGCTACCCTGGTGTGAGCCTGTGTGTTTCCGGATTCGCCGCAAGAGAGTGGTGCTCAATGCCAGGTAGATAGCCTGGCCATTGCTGAAGAGGCGTGGAATGACCGGGATTGATTCAAAGTGACTATTGAGCGGCGATGATTGCCTAAATTTCCCGATCCCGGTCAGAGGGAAAACCCAGCAACCTAAAACCATTATTTCTCAGTAAGCTGAGTCGTTTCAACTCGCAATGTCCAGAGGCCCCAATTGAGCGATGCCAAGCTGTCGAGAGAAGACGCATCGATTGCATGCCTCACCCTTAGCCGTAGCCTTTGCAGGGCTTGCAAGAGCAAGAAGCTTTGTGAATTTTTTCTGACTACTCGCAACCCTAGGACTCGAAACAAACTTCGGTCTGGCGGCTTCGCTCCCTTAAACATTCCTAAGACTGGATCAAAATCCTCGGTTGCCATGAGCTCATCTTGGCATGGTGGAACGAGTTCGTCAGTCATCATCTGTCACTAGTTTGTCTCTTCCCGCGCCAAGCTACCTAGGACCTAAGGACTCTGCCTGGCGCCAGCCAGATGTGGCGTCGACATCTCCAAACCCTAAACCCTAAGCTTGTTTAAGAGAGACGCTGAACCCAGATTCTGGAGCAGTGTGTGGTCATGGTGTCCTGTGACCTCCAAGTCAGTTTCGCAGCTGAGGTGTGGCATACCGGCCCCATCGTACAGCAGGGGTCCAAAGGACGGCCAAGCTGGTTGTCTCGTGAACCTGGAAGTCCTTGGAAGCCTTTTTCAGAGGGCCTTCGCATCTCTGCAACTTTCTTGCTTTCTCTGCAGTTCCCCCGTGCCTGCGACGCCGGCTTGCTAGAGGTACCTTGGGGTTCGATGGACGCTCTGATCGTTCCCCTGTCCGTTGTGCAACAGGCGCTGCCCGCCACTGGCAGCTCCTGGTCCTTGCCCAACATGCTCCACGGCACAAAAGCAAGCAGGAACTGCTTCCCACAGGATGTCCAGCATTGAACTGTTGGCCCCGCTGAATCCCTGTTTTGTTTGCGCTTTCACAGACGCCAGCGCACTGAGGTTTGGAAACGCGAGGTTCTTAGTGCCCAGAGCATCTTATTCGGAGATGCGAGTGGAAGTATGCTCAGACTCTGGAATCTGCCTCAGCGCATGCCACTGCGAGCAGACTTCAAGCTTGTGCAACCTCACGTCCCTGCAAGGGTGCGATGCATTGGTTCTCTTCATCCAGCAGTTCAAGACGCACCGCCATCCTTGTTCCCTGTGACCGACAGGGTCTGATGTAATCAAGTAACATGGCTTGGCATTTGGCATTTTACGCAAGTCTACAAGCTCCAAATTGGCAGGCTCTCAGCGCAAGCCGCTGCGTGGGAAGGACCGATGCGACGATAACCACAGCTCACAGCTATGTACGGTTCGCACATGCAAGATGCTGATGCGTATCGGATGCACGTCGCACAGCAGGTTGTGTTCTGGGGCAATCTACACGAGGCACTGCAGCTCAGTTGGCAATGTGCACTGCCGATTGATGCTCTGCAAGGCACGGCTGCAGGATCTGCAGCGGGAGCTACGTTTGCAACTCAGCCTCCTGCGATCATTGGGTTGGACATCGCATGCGCACTCTGCAAGTTGTCGGCTTGCATGAGCGGAAGATTTGTGGTCAATGGCTTGGTCCCCCTTTGCGTTGGCTAGAACATTCAACCGCAAGGTTGGCCTCTAAACGGGAAAAAAAGGAATGAGAGGTCGCAAATGCTGCTGCTACTAGGCCATGACACCCTACCAGGCGCTACCACGTAAGTAAAGTGTAAGGTAACCAGAAGGCGCACTCCGAGTCCCGGAATGTGCCGAAAGGTCGAAAGGCTCTTGAAGCTACCTCGAAGCGGACTTTGCTGCCAACATTGCCTTCAACAAATTCGCATGTCAACAATGTCAACTGGCTTCCCTGCAGATGTTTTTCCTTTCTGCATCTTCCCGACGTAGGCCTGGCGCTGCTTCGGGCGCTGACTTCAGCGGCTGGGCCGCCACCTCAAAGTCCTGATGCAAAATCTTGAAACGGTCCCCCCAAAAATGGACCCCCGTTGCTTTTCGAGCATCCCCCCCCCCCGCCCCCCACACAGGCCGGATGTCTTGGTAGATGTTGGGTGTGCGTGTCGAAGGCCAGGACTTGCTTTGGGCTGGCTGCCTGGTTTGGCTTATTTGAAGATACTTCAGCATGTTGGTTCAAGTTCAGCATTGTTGGTTCAAGTTGGTTCGTTTATGTTTCTGTCTGTTGCTGTGGGTTGTGCCAGTGTCCCGGCTTCAAGGTATGCTGTATGCGGGTCTGCCGCCTGTGACAGTCCCATTGGTATTGTGAGCTCTCGCATTGGTGCACTGCGGCAGCCTGTTATCTTGGATAGAGCTACACTTGTCTTTGTGGCATGGATGCAGACATTCAATACCCTGCAGGCCGTACTCGCCCAAAGCCATTGCCAATGCAGAGGTTCGATTGCTCCAAGAGCAAAGGGGTCTGCCACTGTCGGCTCGCTTGGTCGTGCTTCGGTGCAGGATTGTGCCGAATTCGAGTTTGAAGTGCTTCCGCCAGTCAGATCCCAAGATTTGAGCGGCATCCCTGTACAGCTTCGTTTGACCATCCAGCTACCCAGGATCCCCATGACATGGGGCCAGTGCTCGAGGCACTCGGCAGTGTTGGTGGGGCAGCCTGCACTGTGCACCGAGCCTGCAAGCTGCTAGGTCCTTCACCTGGAGGCAGCCCTTCTTGGGGCCCGGGATAAGCATGTCACATATTCTAAAAAATTCTCAGCGTGCCTGGAAGGCCGAGGCGGGCGGTGCTTTGCGCATCCTACCCCTGCTGGCTGACTCCCCCTCCGTCTGCGGCCTACATTCCTAAACACCAGCAAGGTGAGCGAGCACAAGCACTGAGCCGATCTGAGGTGCAGACTGCCCTCGGAATGCAAAAAGTTGTCTTAGACTGTAGACCTGGCAGTGGCAGTCGTGGCAGTCGTGGTCAGAGACGGGCAGAGACTGGCAGAGACGGGCATCCTCAGGCGGCAGGCAGCTTGCGCCTTCGACTTGATCTGGACGAAGGAGTCGTTGAGAGGGCACCGATCTCATAGTGCTAGTGCTGATAGAAATTGCTTGGCAGCTTTTGTGCAGGACAGTTACCTGAGTTCGGCTCTGATGGAGCATAGCTGCGATGCCCTGCAAATTGCAGCAGCTACGCTGTGGTAGTCCTCAGAAATCCTTGATTCTGCATCAGCGAGCTGGAGCAGTGCTTCGCGTCGCAACGTTGTACTCTTAGTTTCCAGTCTGGAACCGCAGAAGGCACCTGGAGGCGCTGACAGAGCGGTCAAACCACTGACCTTGCTACTGCTCAGTGAAAACCTCCCAGTTCGTGACACAGATCAGGCCTGCAGCATCGAATTCATGCTGTCAGCGGCCCAATAGATGTCCGACACGAGGCAAAATCTATGTTGAAAGGAATTGGGACTCCAACAGAACGACTGGACGGTTTCCTGGAAAGGCATGATACCAACATAGATCCCCAAAAGTAGTATTCCAGGATCACTTAGCCACGAAGAGTACGCCACAATATTTCCAGGGACATTCTAGAACCATACCAAGACGACTCAAAAAACCTCTCCACGAACTGTCCTAGAGTTCTGGAAGACTCTACGAAACCAATTCTGAAACCATTAGGTTGCCCGACCTTTTTAAAGACATGGCTAAATCACGGTGTTGTGCCCCCCATGTCTTCGTCCATGACATTATTTACCAAAGAATTATGGAAACTTCGGTTTGCCGATTTTGAATAACTATTCTAATCGAGAGAAGAGGGCTGAAATTGTTAGAGAGTATATGCAAACAAGTTGACTCCCGATTGAAGAAGCGAGAAGGGGACTCTCGAAGGGACTGTTTGACTAGATTGGCTTTTGATTTACAGAGGGGACTTCATAGCTCCCTCAATAATCACCGTATGATCGTGTCTGGTCACTTGGTAGGACCTGATTCCATTGATTAATTCCTCAATTTGTGTGTCGGATAGAAAGGAGGAAACCAGGAAAAAATGGTACTGATGTCCTTACGCTGCTGACGCTATCGTTGCCGCTAAAGCTGCTGCCCACGCCCCATCACGCTTGCGCTTCTGTGAGTCGATGTGCAGTTTCTTTTTCGTAAGGGATGCGGTAGGGAATTTTCTGGATGAGTCTCCTTTGTGTCTCTCTTTTGGCGATGTTCCTCGTATTCTTCTAATTCGGGGTGGTGGTGGGTCTTTTTCTGACGAGGAACATTTGTGATTTTGTCTGCAAGGAGGTTCTGATGTTGTTCGTATGGTCTCTCCGTGTCTTTTCCCTGACGAGGAACATTTGTGATTTTGTCTGCAAGGAGGTTCTGATGTTGTTCGTATGGCTTCTCCGCGACATAAATCTTCTGGAACGGGGATATTATATTAGAATATTTAGAATTATTGGGAACAAATGTCTCATATACTACTACTTTTGGAATCCCTAATAATTTCTAATTGGTTTTTTTGGGAATAGAAATACTTATATCGACCATAAAAGGCTACGGGCTCGACCCCTATTTTCGCTCTGCGGCCGCCCCGTCGGATGCCCCGCCTCCTCTTCCGGTCCATTTGGCTGCTTGTGAGGGCCTTGCAGGGGGATCCTGAAAATTCCGGGAATTTTAACACTTTTTGTCTAAAAACCCTGGGAATTTTGGGAATCACCCGGAGCTGAAAATTCCCGGAATTTTAGGAATTGTCCGGATTGAGGTTTGGGCTTGCCGGGTTGGATTTAAGGTTCCAGTGCAACAGTGATGACGTGGGTGCCCCTTCACCTTCAAGGAAATCTTCAAGGAAATCTCTTGGTCCAGCGTAGTTCCGATGACGGTCGCCGCCCGCCAGCTGTTCGGCCTCACGATCACATATCAGCAACAGCTCTGAATTTAAATTCCGGGAATTTTCGCAGGGTCTTACGCTTTACGGTGTAGGGTTTTGGGGTTTAATAGAAATTGTATAGGGTTTGTGTCCGGAGTTTTGTCGTGTTTTGGAGGGGTTTTGTTTTTTGCTTTTGCTGTAATGGTTTGGGTTCTGTCGGGTGTGGTGGGGGGTGGGTGGTTTTGGGGTGCTGAGGGGTTGGGGCTGAAAGGTTGGGGTTTTGGGGGGTTTTCCCGAATGCCCGTGGTGGTGGTCCCGTGGTGGTGGTCCGTGGTCCCGTGGTGCTCGTCGTGGTGGTCCCATAGCGTGGTGGTGCTCCCGTGGTGGTGGTGCTCCTTTGGTAGTGGTGGTCTGTCGTGGTGGTGGCGGTGTCCGTGGTGGTGGTGGTGGTGGTGGTGGTCCCTGGTGGCCGTCGTGGTGGTCCCGTGGTGGTGGTCCCATGGTGGTGGCCGGGTGGCGATGGTCCGTGGCGGTGGTCCGCGGTGGTGGTCTCGTGGTGGTGGTTCCGTGGTGGTGGTCCTGTGGTGGTTGTCTCGTGGTGGTGGTCCCGTGGTGGTGGTCCCGTGGTGGTGGTCCCGTGGTGGTGGTCCGTGGTGGTTGGTCCGTGGTGGTGGTCCGTGGCGGGGGTCCGTGCGGGTGGTTGTGTTGGTGGTCGTGGTGGTGGTCTCGTGGTGGTGGTCTTGTGGTGGGGGTCTCGTGGTGGTGGTCTTGTGGTGGTGGTCTCGTGGTGGTG